GCAGCGGGAGACGTTCAAACTAATATCATGTAATTTACATCTCTATGATGATTGGTTGATATCAGAAGGAGGCTAGCCTCCCTTGCGAGGTTTCTTTTCTCAACACTCCTCAGCGCTGAAAGTGAACACTCGATGGTGATTGGCTAATTTTTTTTACCAACTGAGGCACGAGAGCTCAGCTCTCCCCCTCCCCTTCTCTATCATTAGCGGTTGTAATTACATCAGCAAATTCGGCACATTCGCGAGCGGCACTTTCCAGCTTCATTAACATGTTATGGTATTACAGCTGTGAAATTACAAACAAAAAATACACATTCTGAGACAAGAACTGAAATGAACTGTGAATTTTATTAACATTAAATCGTCCTCCTTCCATTTCCACCTCAAAATTTTGGGGAAGCTCTGCCTCCCCCGACGAGCCGCCACTGATTATAGAGACAGTATATTAGTTTTGTTCAGTCTATAAAAGTGTTCTTTTTTATTAAAAATGCTTTCTGGTTGGCTTATATCTTAGTGTGTTTCTAATGTTTAGATAATAGCTCAGGAATCACAACATTGTACACCTAATCCTCCTTTTTATGGAGCAAATTTGGATTTAAAATGGTTTAGGCACTTGAAGTATGACGGAGAAGAAATGTGTCATGCAGCATATTGAGTTAGTTATATGCAGCATATATATCTGGTGCTCAAAGCCTGTGACTCACCACACACTAGGGGTACTTCCTGGGGAGGTTCTCTAACACTTTATTCTTTGTTATAACAGCATGCCCCATTCACTGAGTTAGTCTCACAAAGGAGAAACTTTTAATTATAGATAACAGGTTCACTTTGCAATTTATTGTGGCCAAGAACCGCCCACTTAGATAGGAAGAGGCTCACAACTCACAAACCAGCCACACCTTTCCTGTAGACTGGTAGTAGGCTTGTGAGCAAAAGAGTGGCATCTCATTGGAAATTCTATAGTCTTAAGCAAATGATTGCATAGACAATACAGAATGGGAACGTAAAATGTATATAGACCTTGTATATAGTCTAGAATCTTTTCAGAAGGACAAGTTTTATTAAAGACTAGTGCTGTCAAACGATTAATCGTGATTAATCGCATCCTATATAAAAGTTTTTTTTTTACATTATATATGTGTGTACTGTGTATATTTATTATATGTATATATATATAAATACACACACATGCATGTATATATTTAAGAAAAATATGTTTTGTTTATGTATAAAATATTAATATTTATAATATATATATATATATACTGTATATGTGTATTTTTATATACATATTAAATATGCACAGTACACACACATATTTTGTAAACAAAAACTTTTATTTTGAATGCGATTAATCGCGATTAATTGTTTGACAGCACTATTAAAGACATACAGTAACTCATAAAACAAAGAATATAAAATTGTGCTTAAGGATATTGCTACTTAACTGCCTTTCAGTATCTTAAATGGCGAAAGCATATTGACACCTGATAACTATTGGTATTGATAACAGCTGTTGATAACACCCATTCACTAATCAGACTGGATAGATCTTATAATACACATCAGTCTGCGACTGGTTCACTTGAAGCTAAAACTACATGACACAGTATCAGAGAAAACCAGATGTTTTTATAGCCCTACAAATTTGTCATGCCACTACAGTCATCTTGAGTGAATGATATTTAGTCATAATGTGCCCATACCATATGATCCACAAGCATGATTAGTTGAAGTAGTGTTTTAAATGGGTAGTAAACACAATTTATGCATCATTTGGAACATTTGAATTGGCATTTTCATTCACCTAGTATGATTCTGATGTGGGCTTTAATTTTGACATGAGAAGTAGAAAAAAAAGGCATTTCTTGTTTCACGTCATTTCCTACTAAAACATCTCATTGTTGTTAGCATAAATGCGACTGTTTCCAGTTCAGTCTGGAGTTCTACGTATATGTTAATAGAATATGGCTACTTTGCCTCAAATTTTTACGAGTCTGACATCAACCTCATGTTAATTGTGTATGTGGTTTTTCTGGTTTCCCTTCTGATTGTAATCTCTGAAGCGGCTTACTCATATCACAGCTGGATTTGCTAATTCTGGCGTCATCATATCTCATATTTCCTGTTTATTTTATTGCTCTCTAAATGTTTGAAACACCTAGGGAGTCTTGTGAAGAACAAGATTAATCATTAGTCACATATTAGATTGCGTCAAGCCAGAAAAGAAAGTGGACACATCATAGTGTGATGCAAGTTGAGCAATAAATATGTCCTGTCAGTGACCAAAAATGCCCCCCAAAAATGTTTCACTGCTTCTCCTTTCTTTATTTTTATTATTCTTTGGATTAGAAAATGTCTTGTAATTCATATAGACTGCATTTCAGTTCTCCGTTTTTAACCACATCTTACATGGTTAACAAGAAAATTTGCAACTTTGTCCCACACCTACCTGTTAGTGTGACGTGCAGACCACCATCGCTCTATGTATCTAAAATTCCAAGAAAAAAAGTGATTTATTTGGAGAAGTTTTGAGACATAAATGAGGGTTTTCATCATTATTCCTTAAAGGGATAGTTCACCCAAAAATGAAAATTCTGTCAAACCTGTATGAGTTGCTTTCTTATGTTGAACATAGAATATTTTTTGAAGATTGCTGGTAATCAAACAGTTGGTGGTTGCCATTGACTTCCATAGTAGGAAAAAAAATACTATGGAAGTC